TTTAACGAAATTATCATATTTAAAGTATGTGAAAGACAAAGAGATAGTATAGGGAAAAAATAAGAAGAAATGTGTTTTTGTAAATGCGATCCAGTCAGTATTCGCTCTGCGCGTAAAGCGCTCGCGTCTAACTGTGAGCGTCGCTATAAAGTCATTCTTAGATTATCTGAGATCGAGATTTTTATTATGAAAACCAATCAACTACAGTCGAGCATTTCCCTGCCGTTCAACTGTAAAGCCCATGGCACATATAAAAACGTAAGGTCGTAATACGTAAGCAGTAAGGAAATCGTAAAGCCGAGAGCACATAGAAAAATGGAAGACCGTAAGACGTAATTAGTAAGAATATCATAAGATTGGCTACTAACCTTATGATTTCTACCGTAATTGGGCAATTTGCTTACTGATAGGGGAATACTCGACTGTAGTTGGTTGGTTCTTACATTCTGATCCGGTTTAAACCCTCGGTGAAAACTAGGCCTGTTTCACGAAATCGCACTCCTGCGCAACTGTTGGTAGGCATGTAAAACAGTTATGGCTTCACACAGAACGCGATAGCGCTTGTCGCGCGGTGGAAATTATCGTACTAATCAATAATTCTACGTTTTTAATTCGGTCTTAGCTTGTAAAATTTCTAGAAATGATATAATACTACTTTTGCCGCGCGGCAAAAGTTGGATCGAGTTCAACTTTTATCGCGCAATGGAAATTATATATCTATTACTTCTGAGCAAGCGAGACGTTGATTGGCTATCGCGCTAACTTCCCTGCAAATGGACGCCTCCGATTTGCAGTGCAGAACGCTCCTGTTTTCCTTCAGTCGGAAAACCAAGTAGGAGCATAAAGGTGTGTAAATATTTAGATTGTTATCCTATTTAAAGGAGATTCGCGTGACTGAGGTGCTTTCGCGAAACCGAGAGAGTCCCGTCTTGGACCTCTAATGGTGGTTGTCATAACGTGATCAGCTCGTTATCTGCTAGCTCGCATCTCTGATTTACATTGCCGAACGCATCTAAATATCGCATGGTAACGAAGAATATGATTTCGAAGTCGTATTCGATACCGACGGTGATATTTTTATGATAATTATCGCTTGATTTTAAGAATAGACCCTCTGTCCCATTGTTAAGCTAACCTTTTCTCAGAGGCATGACTCACTATGTATCCTTAGCCAATCAGCGCGCGATTCGGCTCACATGTTATATTGGCGACTTTCTGATTATAGGTTCTGTAGGATAACCGCGTAATCAATCAGAGACCCTATTCTTGAAAAAAAAAACTATCGCATACGAAAAACTAGAGAAATGTTATAGTATATATAACGCATACTATAGTATTTCTCTAGTTTTTTGTATGCGACTTTTTTTTCAAGTATAGGGCCTCAGGGAATCTATCATGGAATAAAATCAGAATGGATTCCAATCAGAATTATTTCATTTTTTTCAGAAAACATAATAGAAATCCATTTCGATTTTGTTCCGTTGCTGTGGTTTCGTATCTTACTGATTATTGATTGGTTACGCGATATGTAGCAAATACTCTTCATAGAACTCCAGCATAAAAAGCCTTGTATTCACGATGTTAGAAGTCGATCCGAGACTTCGGATGAAGAAAGAATTAACCAATCGCAATGGTCATGTGATCAAATTGTTCAAATGTGATTTGTTAATTTTTTCTCTGTCCGAGATCTTGGACCGATTTCTAGCATCATGGATATCGGGCTTTAAATCTATTCGCTTTAGGTCTATTTCTTGCACTTTTTGCACTCGGAAACTTCGCTTTCTCTCTTTTCAAGATCAAATATATATCTATTTTATTTTAAGTGCAAAAATATTTGAGGATTTTATGCAATGCGATCAGATCTGTAATTGTTTACAAGAGGTTTGTTCACGTTGCTTGAAAAATTTTTGTACCTAAAGTGAGATAAATAGATTTTCAGGCGTCGATGAGAAGGAAAGTGATGAGTGCAAGAAGTGCAAGCAACGCAAACAAACCTAATGTTTACGTTGGCGGGAAGCGATGGCGTCAATGACGCGTAAATTTAAAGATTGCTCCTTTGCAAACATTAGTTCGATATTTCTTTCGCGCGCCGCGCGCGTGTACGTATTTTAATATTTTAATTATTTCTTATCTGTTCTTATCATAAACCATTTGAAACTGGGCTAAAGCAGTGTCAGGAATACATTTAATAAAATACGGAAGAGCTTGTTGTCGATAACATCAAGTTGTTTACATCATAGGTGAATGGACACGCAGAAATGCTCACTTTGCAGTTTGGACAATGCGGAAATCAACTAGGATATGATCTATTCTCGAAAGTGTCCTCCGATATAGGAAGTTCGAACACTGGCGTTTCTTACGGTGCGAATTACGAGTATACGGAAAATACTATCGAGAAATGGTTTGATGGTATCGCAGAATGCGGTCGACACTTTGCAAAGGCAATTCTCATCGATACCGAAGAGAAGGTTGTGAACAAGGTATGCAAGAACGTAAACGCCTCGTGGCTCTATCGAACGAGTAATATCGTTTGTCAGTCTGGTGGTGGTTCCGCCAACAACTGGGCTTATGGCTACACAATTAATAGTCGACGCTTGTCAAACACTATACTGAATGTTACACGACAGGAGATTGAGAAATTAGATCGATCACAGGGATTTCTACTGCTTCTTAGTTCAGCTGGTGGTACAGGATCTGGTATAGGAAGCCACATGGTTGAACTTCTACGAGAGGAGTACGAAACTGAACCTATCATTGCAACAATTGTATTACCGTTCACCTTCGGAGAAGTTTGCACTCAAAATTATAATACTATACTGACTCTAGCCAAGTTCTCAGATAGAGTAGATTTTTCTGTGTTAATCGAGAATGAACAGATGTACTCCATGTGTACCAATCTATTGAAGCATTCTAATACCACATTGCATGACATGAATAACATCATTTCTGAGAATCTACTTGCTGTTTTTCAACCTAGCAACAATGCAAGATGTAACACAAATTTTGTAATATCCAAAATAGCTACTCATCCTAATTTTAGATTTGTAACAGTCAAGAGTACTCCACATACTCCTGCAACATCTTTGCAGTATGAACCTACACATAAATGGGAAGTATATATACGTCATTTGAAGCAGACTCTTCGAGTATCAAAGTCAGAAGTGGAATTAACTAATGCCCAACTAAAGATACCAAATCCTACGCTAAGCAAAACAGTAATGTCTCACATATATAGTCCTTGTGTGTCTAATGTTCTTGTAACACGTGGCAAATCTGTGGAAAATGATGTTATCGCATTGGAAGATTTACAGAAAAAACATCTATACCCAGAGTGGATTACTTTGGATTCTTTTACTCATTTGCATCAAGAACGTAGGTTTCTGAACCGAGATAAATTTCTGGCGTTGGTAAGCAATAATTCTGAAATACATCGCCCATTGGACATATATCTAGACAAAGCGTGGGACTCTTACAAATGTGCAGCTTTTTTGCATCAATATAAACAATTTGGTTTAGAGGAAGATGATTTTTTGCAAGCTTTTGCAAAAATGGAAAACGTAGTGCAGGAATATAAAAACTTAAAAAGCCACAATGGAAACTAAATTTTTTTAAATTGATATTCATAATCTATTCTTATTTCAAGACCATTAAGTAATGTTTTAAGATGTTAATGCTCTCTGATTGGTTTACGATATCTGAAGATTGTACTTAAGACAGTCTTAAATATTAAAAGCAACTATAAATACTGATCTTATAATTTAATATTCGAAAAAACTATTTTTTTATTTGTAACTGACCATATACCCATGTTCTTAAGAAATAGAAAAAAATAAATCCAAAATTAATTTCATATTTATAAAGCATCTTTATAAAAAAACCTGATTGTAATTTTATAGAATAAATTAAATAAATTTTAAAATTCTTAAATACAATTATTAAAAAATGTGATGCAGTATCGTACAATAAAAAGTTTCTTGTGTATATATGTATATATTTATTAAAATAAAGATTATTTGAATAAAAATATATTAACTACCTAAACATATCACTTGGTTTATGTACAAATTTTAATATTGACTAATAATACTTGATTATATTTATTCATATCAGCTTAAAAATATGCGGAAATTCATTATTCCAAAACCTCAGATTCTTTTTAAAAGAATCTGCAACTTTCCCTTGATCTTTTTCTTAGATATAAATTTATTTCCTTTTTAGATTCTTTGTCTTTCATCTCTCCTACACTTTTTCGAAGTAGCGCGTAGGTGCTTACGCGAGACCTTGAATGTCACGGTCATGGTTACTACGAGATGAAGAGGGACGGCGAGTGGTTGTGACGTCATTTGGGAATCGACCAGGTTGCGGCTACAGACACAATGACGAAAGAAACTTTCGAGGAGGAAGTAGTATAGAGAAAGAAGTATTATAAGTGGGAGAGCGGGCGTCGATAGACGAATAAAAGACTGATTACTAGAGAAAAGCGAGATGAGAAGAAGTTTGCTTTGCCTGCAGATATGCGACATGCCGCATGACATGTGTCTCCTCATAATATATATCCCGTTTCTTTATTACATTTGTTCGTCACTGTTAAACTTATAATATCAAATTATATCTAATTTGAATTACTTTTTAACCATTTCTTTAGGTTGCTACTGCTCCTATCTAATATATCACTAATTTAATTAAAACAATAGAGTCAAACAATTGAATTCAAGAAAATTATTGAATTTGATTCAAATTTAATTTATTATTTACTATACACATTAATGCGGACGATGTTTACTTTAAAACTATAAATCACAGAAATGGATTGATTTGTGTTGTGACATATAATATAATGAAAGTTAAAACAAAACCTTATTTAACAGAAGCGATTGTATTACCATTGCTTCTTTGATATCTAACAATGTTTCAAAACATGTAATTGCGTTCCTACTGTGTTACAACAAATATTTATCTTATATATATGCATGATATGTGTACACACACACACACACACACACACACACACACACACACACACTCATATTTGAAAGATATTTTTTTATTTGTAACTGACAATCTACTTAAGAGATAGAAAAAATAAATCCAAAATTAATTTTATATTTATAAAACATCTTTATAAAAGAACTTATTGTAATTTTATAGAATAAACTAAAGAAATTTTAAAATTCTTAAATACAATTATTTAAAAATGTGATACAGTATCGTACAATAAAAAATTTGTTGTGTATATATGTATATATTTATTAAAATAAAGATTATTTGAATAAAAATATGTTAAGTATCAAAAAAATATCAGTA